ACAATCCAAGGTCCTGAAGTTGCAGACTTAATATTCTTTAAACTTTTTACTTCTGAGGAGCTTGAATAGTTTCAGGTTCTTTGGGGACATCGGTTTTAATATAGAGGTAAGGAATTCAGACAAGTCAAGTGTACTTCAGCAAAATAAGTGGGTTTGGTTATTTCCTTGATGGGCTGAAGTGATCCTGGCAGCTGTTGAAGGACTGTAGTATATTGAAAGGGAGAAAATGATTGTTCCTGCTCAGAAATTTGGTCCATTTAATGGGACAGTAAGTACAAAAAGTGAGGTGGGAAAAAGTGGCAGTGGGTATGAAGGACTGGAGAATTATCGGTGCAGCACTTTCTTATCTCCCCTCAGACAGGTATATCTGAAAGAAATACAAGTGGATATCCAAGACCTTTAGCACGATGCAGTTACTTTAGAATCTGCCTACAGACAATAAATTTATAAAACAGGACAGAAGTAAAAAAAAAGTCACAAATGGAATTATATTAATGGTCCTTTCCCATAGTGATTTTGACATTACAAATACTATCATATCACACGAGTTATGCTTGCTGTAAGAACAGTTTTAATTTTCTTCATATGTGTTGTCAAACTTTACTCCATCTTCACAAGAAATCACAGTAGCTGCTGCCAGTGGATTGCGTAAGCAGGTGTTGGCCTTGGACTAGTTCTAGGCAATACTGCAAAAAAGGTCAATGACTTGTCTGTTCCTGCAAGGTAATCGTATATTCACTTTCTGGGACTAAGCTGCTGTGGACTAGCTCCTCCCCTAAAATCTTTTCTACCTTGTAACTGTACACTTTCTTGGGAACAGAAACCGTGTAGACCAGTATCACAGTCTAAATGAAAGGGCTTCCAATATAATTTACATCAATGCTGAAATGCTCTGCAGGTAACTACTCTGTACTGGGCAAAGTCGTGCTTGATGTAGTTCAGTTGAGCTGGGTTTGACCAGACCAGAGCTCCATGGTGATAAATCTTTTACATAACTATACTTCTAAGTCAATACATAGGCTGTAAGTAGGAACATGTGATTGAGAATTCTAAGAATAGGAGTGAGAAACATTATCTTAAAATTAAGGAGATGACCTGTTTTATGAAGGGAAAAAAAAAGTTCAGTATACAGCAAAGCTTATTGCAAGGTAGGTCTCGTGTGGCAGACACTTCATCTTGGATATAGAACATTTGGTTGTACATGTTCACAAACTGAAAACGAAAGAAATATGTTAAACTAACAAATTAAGTTATTGCCCACTGTTTTTAACTGGAGTGCAATTGTTATTGTATCGCTGAAGTTTGAAGTTGGTGGCTAGAATATTAAAAAAGGTTGGGTTTGGTTTCAGGAAGTTAATGTTTTATGGGTTTTTTTCATCTATAGAGGCAATTCTGTTAGTCTGATGACTATACTTTTTTAAACTAAAATACACAAGAATTATAAAGAATCACAAGAATTCGGCCCTGCTTGAGCAGGGGTTTGGTCCAGATGGTGATCTTCAGAGGTCGCTTCCAGCTTCAACTGTTCTGTGATTCTGTGATAAAGTTATGCATTCCTTCAAGCTACATGAGCCAACGTGTACCCTGTTCCCTCTGGAGATGAGTAAGTAAACAACACCCATTTTAACATAGGTAGCTACCAAATACCCTTCTTATTGTGGGTTGCCAAAAATGTTTCCAGTGAACCACTTTTTGAATGAGGTTTGTCTTTGAACAAAATAAGCTCTGCGGAAAACACTTTCCTCAAAATACCTCAGAAAATTTAAAAAAAAAAAACAAAACAAAGAGATTGAGGGTTGGGAATGTAATCATCCTGGTGTTTCAACAAGAGAAGTTTTTCCCATTCATCATGTTGGCAGAACCTAGGACTTTTTCAGTTAATTGTTTTTAATGGAAGGTTTTAATGGCTAAAGCCCGGTTTCTGATTTTTTTTTTTTGTTGCTTCCTGCTTTGTTTTTTTTTAGAGAGGGCTGGCAGCTCCTTCCCTGTAACACTGCACAGGGCGTGCGTGGGGTACGCAGAGGCTCTCTGCTGGGAAGGGCGGCTGAATCCTCAGAACCATGCTCTGGATGGGAGGGAAATCAGCAAGCAGAGGAAGGCAAGCTGTGAGGAGGAGGATTTTGCTGGAGTGTTGGCTTTGTTTTGATTCAGTTAGGCACTGATTAATGTTAACAAAAATGTAAGATGAATGTCATGCCCAGCTAATGGATTGGGTTCCATGAGTTAATCAACAAAGAACACAAAGAACAGTATTTCTTCTTTTTTTGTTTTTTTGGTTTTTTTTTTAACAACTGCATGGCAAGGTGTTTGTTTTAGATAGCAGTCTCTGGTTTCCATGGGGATCATCCTTCTGCTTGTTAAAGGTATTATTAAAAATCTTTCAGACTATTTGAATTATTGCTAAGAGCTAGTATTTCAAAACTATCTCAGCTATTGATGCCTGCATCAACATTTTATGTCTGGCAGTGAAATCCAAGGAGGGTACAAATTGGAAGAGGAGCAAAAATATTGTTTTGCTGCTTTGAGTCAGACTGTTGTGTTCTGATAACATTTCATGCTCAGAGAACGTTACTCCTTGCAGATACAGTGAACTTGAAACACTTTAAAGGCTATACGGACGTCTGGGCAGCATGCTGTGCTGGACCTTTGTCTTTACTTTTCCAGTGTATTTCTGTGCAACTTCACGAACTGTGTGGTCTTATCTGTGATACTTCTCAATTAAAAAAAAAATGGAGGGGATGACTGGAAACATCCATCCTTTCAAGCTGAGTATAGTGGAGTTGGTATATAGTACATGGAGATGTTATTGAATGTTGATAGTTATGATAAAGTAAGAGGATAAAATGAACTCTGTTTGACCTTGTTTGGCAGGCTTTATACATGTGTTTGTTTCTAATGTGAAAAGAGCTGCTTCTCATGCAGTGGTTACCTTTACTATTTCCTGTTCCTCTTTTTTACTTGGAGGAATTTTCAAAGGCACAGACAAGTTAACATCAGGTGTATAGTAAGGGTTTTGTGTAGATACAGCTCATTCCCTGAGAAGACCAAAGGTACGCTTTTTCTTTTTAAATGAAAAACAATTCATGTTCGTCTTTTAGTGGTGGAATTCTGTGCAACCAATATGGGATATGCTTTGTCCCATGTGATCATTTATAAGTGACGCTTATGTCCCAGGCAGTATTGACTTAGAGGAAACAGCAAGATGCTACATTTTCCAGCAGCTTGTTCTCTCCAGCTTTCCCTGGATGCCTCCCAGCTAACCAATACAATCCCATTATGAAGTTTGAATCCAAGGTTATGTAGCCCTAGACCAGTTATCCAGCAGAAACACCTAAGAAACTAACCCATGGTAGAAAATGACAGCTTCGCCCACGGTGAGCCTAGTACAGTTGTAAGCCAAGGAGAATAC